AGGGATTAGTGAAGTGGGATTTCGCAACGCTTCGCTGCCAGCTGTCAAAATATATATGTATATATATTTTTTTTCTTTTTTTTATTTGCAATCTGTCTTGTACAAAACAATAAGCAAATCTCTAAACCATAACTATAAATCACCGGATGGATTGAACTCCAACGAGATCAATCCATATATTTACATAATTATAGCTAATCTACAAGTCTAGTCAAGGCAAATCTAGTACATGGAATATTTTTAAACGCCGTTTACTATTATTTATGTTCTCGAGGAGTCCAGAAGCTAGAACATTGTAGTGGTCATATACCTCTCTGCAGTTTTTTGTATTTATGTATGTAAGTTTGAGGCCTTTATGTATATAATACAATATATAAATACCATATATATATATAAAAATTCTTTAAAATTTTTCAGTTATTTCTTTTTATAATTGTTTATCGCCTTTCTATTGTGGTTATATCATAAGTATAATTATTTGTTTCTGTTTATCAAGCTCTGCTGCTCTTCACTGAGCAACTATCGGATTCTATGTAGTTAAGTCCCAAAGCGAAAATCCATTTTATTTTATTTACACTCAATTTGAATATTATCTATGGAAACTTAAATGTATTGTAGTTCAGCTGTTTCAGAAGTTTAGCCACTAATGCAAGCCTACCTAACAAATTGGGTGGCTGTTGACACAGTTTGGCTGTAGAGAGCAACAACAAAAACGACAACAACAACAACAACAACAACAGTAATAGCTACAGCTACAGATAATAAAAGAAATGCTAACAACGACAATCTGACAATACAATTTGTGCTCATTTCTCAGTGTGTGCTAACTGTGCGAGGCTGTCTGTCAGCTTTTGTCAATCTATATAACGTATACGCCCCTTTGGCGCAATGCCGCTTCTCGTTGTCGCTAGCCGTGCCGTGAATCACAGCAGCGCATATTGTTGTTGTCAATTTACAAACAATTCCATTGTCACTCTATGCACTCTTTGTAGCAATCACTGTGCCGCTCCCCTCCCGGGACGCACTCTGTGCCTGCCCCCACAGCAACATCAAACGTTGCCTTTGCTGTGCTGCAAACATTTTAATTTTTAATACAACACTCGCAACTTCTAACTCTCTTTTGGCACACTTCTAATTCTAAACCCACTTTAAATCGTTGCACTCTCTTTGTAATTCAATTTCAAATATTTAATTCCAACATAGACACAAAGCAGTTGTTAGAACTATGTGGCAGGAGTGCCAAATTGGTAATTTAAACCCGAAGAGATCTTAAATGCATACATCATGCAATTGAAGAGCTCATCTGTGGCATATGCATAACTATATTTATGGCATCAAACGTTTAAGTCTATAGGATTACGATCCACAAGTTTCATTAGGATAGTCCATGAAAAGTAATTACCAAATTAAGTTTCCATAGTAATATAGTATACAAAATAATCTCCAGTGTGTATGTTTACGTTTATGTTGATAAGGACTAGGGTCTTCTGTGCTTAACTGTAAAACACTAAAATTTTATGAAAATTAAAGTTTACTCTTTAAATAAATAAGTAAAAACAAAAGAGACTTTGTTCTCTGATTGTAGCTTAACACACTCGACTGAAGTGTCGTTGGCATCGGAGCTCTGGAATCTGATCATATCGTTCTAAAAATTGGAGCTGCTCTTTTTTCTCATTCTGTTCGTTTTTTGTTCACTCTTTTATTCAATTAAAAAGGGCTGCCTTTAATTTGAATTCAAATGGTGAATCCAGTTTTTTAATCAATGGCTAGGCAACGAGTGTGCATTGAAACATTCAAGTGCGAAAAACTCGCTTTGAACAATTTTCTAACAAAGCTGGCAAAACAAAAAGCGAAAAAGTACAGCAAAAAAAAAAAAAAAAAAAAAAA